GAACCAAATGTTAGTGTGTCTGTGTGTAGATCTAATTGTTAGTGTGTCTGTGTGCGGAAGCAAATGTTTGTGTGTTTTTGTCTTTACTTCTAAATACTTGTCTTTGTGTCAGACCAAGTGTTATTGTGTCTGTGTGTACATCTAATTGTTAGTATGTGTCCTTTTGCAGAACAAAATGTTAGTGTGTCTGTTTACATCAAAATATTAATGTTTCTAAATGTGTAAATATGTAAATGTACCTAAATGTAAATGTTAAATGTTATGTGTAAATGATTCAATATAAATGTTAAATATAAATGTAAATGTTCAATGTAAATTTTAAATGTACATTTTAAATGTCACTCTACATGTCAGACTTGACGATTGAACATACTGTGGAACAATACAATAGTTACGGTAACAAAGACAAGCTGGCAAGTCTGAATAAATTAGCAGGGGTGTCAAACTCATTTTAGGTAGCGCGTCACATACTGTCCCCTTTCATGTCACGCAGGGGTGGAGGAGGGGAGGAAACGGGCGTGGATCATTGCGCAACCCCCCCGTCGACTGCGGTCAAACGGTGCACGAGCGGGCGGTCACGGTCAAAATCATCGGTGATCCGCGCCCGTGCACCCTCCCTCCCCTCCTCCTCCCCTCACGTGACATGAAAGTGCTCCCTACCTAAAAACATGCTGTTAAGCTAATTCATTCGGATTTGCCAGCTTGTCTAAATGTTAGTGTGTCACATCTGTGTGTGTGTGTGTGTGTCATGCGTAGATCTGGATCTGCTCCTGAGGGGTTGACGTGACGTCCTGATGGCGTCCTGATGGCGTCCTGATGACGTGGCGTCCTGATGGCGTCCCCATGACGTGCCGTCCCGATGACGTGCTGTCCTGAAGGCGTCCTGATGGCGTCCCGTTGACGTGGCGTCCTGATGGCGTCCCAATGACGTGGCGTCCTGATGGCATCCCGTATGGAAGTAAATCTGTGTCATCTGATTTTGAAAGAAAAGGGTGATTTCTAGCACTGAATTATTATTATGTCCATTATTAATGGACATGGCTGAAATACGTTCATCATAGTCGACAAGCCGAAGTTGTATTGGGGCGCTCGCTCCTTTTGCTTGACGCACGCTCCCGATCTTGAATCTAGAATCGATTGCTTTTCCTTGGGTTCCCGGATGTTGCGGTTCGAATTTTTTTGCATTGAATTTTTGCATTGAATTTTTTTGCATTGAATTTTTTTGTAGTGAATTTTTGCATTGAATTTTTTGCGGTTGAATTATTTGCGGTTGAATTTTTTGCAGTTGAATATTTTAACGTTGAAAAACATTCAGATACATGATTTCAATGCATAAATATTCAGTGCTAGAAATTCAATCACCTTTTTCCTGACATCTCCCACCCTCCCGTTGGTGATTTTGAGGGGGGGGGTTATGGGGTGGGTTATGGGGGGGGCTGAGCCGCCGACTGCGGAGGTGTTCCGTGTCCCTGAGCCGCCGCCGAACTGCGGAGGTGTTCCGTGTACCCGAGCCGGCGCCGACAGCGGAGGTGTTCCGTGTCCCAGAGCCACGGGCCGACTGCGGAGGTGTTCCGTGTCCCCGAGCCGCCGCCGACTGCGGAGGTGTGCCGTGTCCCCGAGCCGTCGCCCGACTGCGGAGGTGTTCCGTGTCCCTGAGCTGCCGCCGTCGACCGCGGAGGTGTTCCGTGTCCCCAAATTGCCGCCGACTGCGGATGTGTTCCGTGTCCCTGAGCTGCCGCCGTCGACTGCAGAGGTGTTCCTTGTCCCCGAGCCGCCACCGCCGACTTCGCAGGTGTTCCGTGTCCCCGAGCCGCTGCCGACTGCAGAGGTGTTCCGTGTCCCCGAGCCACCGCCGACGACTGCGGAGGTGTTCCTTATCCCCGAGCCGCCGCCGCCGACTGCGCAGGTGTTCCATGTCCCCGAGCCGCCACCGCCGACTGCTCAGGTGTTCCGTGTCCCCGAGCCGCCGCCGCCGCCGACTGTGCAGGTGTTCCGTTGGGTTGAGCCCCTGCCACCCAAAATGTCTGTGCACGTGCCTGTGCACAACATTGATTTATCTTATTTGACAAACATTTCAGCATAATGCCAAGAAAAGAGAAATTCCAAAAGCAGAAGGACCGGGAAAATATCCTACTGTTATTTATTTATTTTATTATTAATTTCATGAATCATTTTGGCGATGGGTGCCCTTTTGTTTTAGTTTGAGCTTTGCCCCCCAAAATGTCTGTGCACGTGCCTGCTCCAAACACAACCATGACTAGTATTACGCAGTTATAAAATATCGTATTTTATACAAATTTCGGCCCAAACTGAACACACTCTGTACGCCTTATCGGTCGAAGCTCGACCGCTGACAACGGAACCAAGGCTAAAAACTGCACCGGATCAAGGGCCGCCCCCTCTCTGCCATTGGTTCCTCACAGCTGCCCCGCCTCCGGATGGTCCTCGAGCAGCTTAACACCGCGTGAACAGCAGCCAGGAAGAGACAGAACGTAAGAGTCTGGTGCCGCTGCCGACACTCCCTGAGAGAAGCTAAGACAGGGCAGACAGTCTACACTAGCCACTAGAAAGGAGGTGACTTTACAGCGGCAAGCAGTGGCACACAGACACAGCGCGTCGACCAGGGTGTAATGAGTAGAAGGGATACTGGGTCTGTGCCTGAGCTGCTGGGTCCTGAAGCCCCCCTCGTGTCTTTGTCTGTGCACAAGCGGCTTGTTGGATGCTGATGTTTGCAGCCGACGAAATATGGATTTTGACTGTTTTTCGTTTGGTTTTGTTGGATTTTAGAGACCGGGCTGAATAGATTTGAAAGCGCATCTTGGAATTACAACCATGAACTTTGTTGTCACTTTGATGCACATCCATTTGGCCGCGGTTCTTCACTTCCCGACTGTAAAGGTGAGTCTTGTACTTCATTTGCTGAGTCTTGTATGTATTGCACCTGGTGTCATTAAAGACCAGCAGCTGCCAATTATTTAATGCCGTTAATGTGGTGGTTCTTTCCTAAAGTGAACAGTAGCGCCGAGTGCAAAAAGTGGACAGGTTCCTTCTTCAGAACGGCACAAGCCGATCTCAGTTGGGTATTTAGCGACATGGACCCGGCTCCTCCTCCTCGTGAAAATTTCATATAACGTTAAATGAGTATCTTCATGACCATGGGTTTAAATGTTTTGTATAACTTTATTGCGAATCGAGCACAACGCAGCGACTTGCAAGTAGCGCAACGTCTTGAATAAAGTGGTATGCCTCAATGGGAGGCTGTGAAATGAACACAAAGAGATGATGGATTTGCTCATAAAGCCTGAAACGGGTCAATCTGGGCAATGTTTTTTATAACCAACCACAGCCAGCGGACAAGCGGAAAAAGTATTAGCAAGACTGGCTGACGTCATCAAGTCAGCTGCTGTTCCTATTGCGGAAATTCGCGTTCTCCGTTTTACCGTATACCCGTGAGTCAGCTCCCGGCCAAACCACCGCGACCCCCGGAGGAACCGACCACCGCAACCTGCCGTTCTGAAAAAGGGACCTGTCACCGACCACTTTTCGTACCAGGCGTCACTCAACGTGAAATAGACACGTTTGACAAGTTTCTGTTGCTTATCGCAAAGTACGATGAACTAAAGCTGTGCAGCGGGTGTAATGTCGCTGGGAACGCCCCATACAAGTCGTTGTATGATATCATCTATGCCGAAACGGAGCAATAACGGATAAGATGTACATTAACCGGGACTTTTCTGAATGTAGTTCAGCCTAGTTTGAACTCCGTCTGTCCAGATCTAGCCCTACATCCAAGATCCGGAGTGTGTGGGAGAGCCGGTTCCTCCTGCCCTGGTGCCCGCCAGGATGCCCATCTCGTTCCCACACCACGCGATCTGCTCCGCTTTCTCACGCAATAGCTCTACCGCTTACAGCAGCTACGGAAGGTGAATGAAGCTCTGCCAGAAAGGCCGGTTCTTCTTCGTCGTCATGTAAAACAAAAGCCGCGTCCTGTTACTCCTTTCAAAACAAAACTCAACCAAGCGATTTGAATCTTTGGAGTCCCGCGTAACAAAACGCAGTTCGTTGATGGAACTTTTTTACTCCAAGTCATCCTTGGGTCGACATCACTACCCTCATATTATACGTGACAGACTTCTAGCCTTCCTCCCTGTTTGTACCTGGATAGGACTGTTGAGTCCGGCTGCTGTTGTTAACAGGTAGAGACATAATGCATGGAAGTATGAATTATTGCAGACTACTGATCTGGCTTCTTTTGATCTAGCCTATTGAGCTCAGATAACAACTTTTACATACTTGCATGTATAAGTTAACAGGATAGACATTTTATAGTTAAAAATATTTAAAATATATAATTTGGTCTGATCTGCATCTCTTTCAGACTGCCAGCATTAACAAGAGAGTGGAGAAAAGTGAAAATGAGGGTAAGTAAATTGGTTACAGTCTTTCTCCTTTTCTGTGTGCAATCCAGAAGGCCAAACGTGTGATACACATTTGTATCTGCTCTGCCTCACACTAACTTTGTTTCTGTAACAATGAAATCAGTCAATGCCTACACAGTGATTTGCAGTTTTGTGGTTGTTGTATTTTTGTTGTTGGAAGGAGACCGTCAATACATGAGCAGGCAGTTGGCCTCGCTTTAATGCCATTCTCCTGTTCGTTTCACCGAGATATGTTGTGCTGAGGCCAAGGTTTGAGCTGTGTGCTGAAGACACCGATTCGTCACTTCTAGCCTAGTTTATGCGTCTGCATTTTCAGAGACTCGAGGACACGCAGACGCAAGAGCCCCTTGCGTGTCCCTTGCGTGCCTTTTCACCCCCCCCCCTTGCGTGCGTCGACCCATTTTTCTAGACTAGCATCAAAAGCAAGCCTTTCGATTTGGTCTGCTAACTACATCCTTTCCGTACTCTCACATTTCCGGTTTCATAGCACAATACTGAGATTATTTTAACCAAGATTTTTTCAGAGAGAATGAATCCAATTGAAGAGCTTTTGTTGAAAAAAATCCATTAAGATGACCACTTATACAACCCGTCATTAGCGGACTAAAAGGACGTGCGGATGGCCTCCGATTCATGGAGGGAGATCTCCACAAACGTTTGTTTGCCGGTAGAGGAGTGCACAAAGTTGTGGTGGAAAATACGTGACAAATATGTCCGTGATGAAAAGCAGCAGTGGCGATGCACGGGGGAATAAAGTCTCTGATTGATCTGAATAAATAAATAAATGACTTTTTCAATTGCTTTGCAACACGCGCAAGCCTTTTAGAACCATGAATTCAAACGAGTGCGTCGAAACGAATGTGCGTAAAGACGCCAGCCTTTAGTAAGAATAGCAAGTTGTTGTTGTTGTTGTGAGTGTTTGTAAAGGATCCCTTTCCCCCCCGTCAGAGTTATTCCATAAAGCATCAGATAGGGCTGCATGATTAATTGAATTTTAATCAGAATCACGATTTGGGCTGCCACAATTAAATACGCATATTTCCACCACAATCGTCAGCGACAGTCACGTTTAAAATGCGTGCTCTGCTACATATTAGGTCAAGCGTCTACCACCTGCCAGGGAGAGAACGAGGTTGGAACAGTCATGGGAGCGCCCTGCAGCATCAAAGAAAGTTCTGTCTGCAGTGGACTCTGGTATTAGTAGAAGAGTAGAGACAGACATGAGAACAGAGCGCAGACTACACAGTGAGAAAGGTAAATCAATCCCTCAGAGGATCATCATCCGCTGTCTGGAAGTGTTTGGGATTTAGGGCAAGTGATGTTAACCAAGAACAAGGCATATGAGTGTAAAGAGAGTTGTGTCTGCGCCCCACAGTAATACAACCATCTTCAACCACCTGAAAAATGTGAACATTAGCTGTAATGTAGCACAGCATAAAAGTGAAAGCAGTGCTCAGTTTTTAATTTGGGGGTATAAACTATTAATAGTATTTCATTTTTTTTCCTTCTACGAGATTCACCATGATGAGGACCAGTCTGATGTGTAGATTAGCCAGAATGTAGCACAAACATCGAAGTGGAATCAGTTTTCTTGTTCATTTAAGCATGAAACTGCAATAAAAAGATGTTGTCCAAAACTGCAAGCTTTCAGCAGAAGATTATTGTATTCATCCCTGCCAGTTTGACAGATTTGACTTTCTTCAGTAACGCATTGTCAGCAGCTAAATAGGTGTCGTTGCTGCTGCTCAGGACACAGATCTGTGGCCTCTGATTTGATAAGAGAGCCTTTCTATTAACCTATTGCACTGGCTGTAATTTAAAGATGATTACAGTGATGATGATGAAAATATTATATTATTAAATATTGTCGTCTCTTCAGTCATTCTTCTCCCAGATGTCATAACCAAGAGTATGTGTCAGCCGAGGGAGATACTGGTGGACATCTTCCAGGAGTATCCAGAGGACACTGAACACATCTACATTCCTTCCTGTGTTGTCCTAAACCGCTGTGGTGGCTGCTGCAACGACGAAGCCATGGAGTGTGTTTCCATGGAAACCCGCAATGTCACGTTGCAGGTGTGTCTATGGAATTGGTGTCAGATTCAAGGCTGGAGTCCAATCCGCTGGGGGGTCCAGTGTAGGGTTGTCACTATACCAAAATTATGACTTCGATACTATACCTGCCAAAATATTACGGTACCCGATACTTACGATACGATACCACAAATAGGATAATGGAATATTTCTATCTATGATAGTAATAAATAAAACATCTGTAAGGTTCCTTGTTTTACCTGGTATCTGTTTGACTGTCTGTGGGATAAACAATGCTTTATTTACTTGCATAGTTTGATATTCTCACATTCATATTTCCTGACACGGAGCGAACAGTGAGTGCGCTCCAATTGCATGCTTTTTTTTAAAGTACCGGTACTAAAAATATTCAAAACCATATTGTTTTCAACGTATGGGTACCACGATACCTTTCTAGTACCGGTACACCATGCAACACTAGTCCAGTGCAGCCTGTCAGCTGACTTTGCTATTGTGACTTCTGACAGATTAGGGGCTTGTTTTCTATGTTTTTACTTGTCTGGTCCACTTGAGATCACAGTGGGCAGTCCGGGCTCCGTACCTAAAATGAGTTTGACACCCCTGTGATGGATACCTGTGCCCTCTTGAAGTTACCCAATGTAAAAATTGGACACCATAATCATCCAGACAGCTATGGGGCTTAATGAAACTATGAAAAAGTAATCTCAAAACAAACACTTTCAAATGGATCTCATGGTCTTCCTGGTCGTTATGGAATTGGTTAGGTATGGAGCTGTATCATTATCACGTGACTGAATTTCAATAGCTAGATCTCATAACCATATAACTAACGCCACATACTGATGGAAAGGTCGAAGGAGGCATGTCCGACATGTATCTGTAGCTGAGGGGTTCTGACTGTAGCCTGATGTTTTAATCCTAACTTTACCCTGTTGTAACTTTTATCTCCCTTTTTAAGGTAACGCGGCTTAGACTTCTGGTAACACAGCACACTGTCCACTTAAGTTTCACAGAGCATCAAAAGTGTTATTGCAGGTAAGACACTCGAGCCATCACACTGTGTGACAGTGGTGCAATCAAAGTGAAAACCTAAACCCTATTTGTCTTTTTCATTGCAGACTAAAGCCTGATGTTCAAGCAAAGAAACAATAGTAAGTAGGTGGTGTTGTTGTTGTTTTTTGGTCTGTGGCTTAGGAGGTAGGGTCATGTTTCTGGTGAAGAAATGCAGTTACAAAATAAATTAACAAAAAAATGCCAGATATCCTAGGGAAAAAAAAAAAGTCAACAGCCCGTCCTATAAAACATGGCGATACCAGGCTAAAAGCACATTACGTGATAGCCCAGTGTAGGTACAGTTTCACGTTGACCACGTGAAGATGAACTCTAGCGGAAGCTTCTGTGCCAAGTCAGGCTCTGGTTGACTGATTTGCCTGTTTCAACCACTTTTTCGAATTGTCTGAACCTATTGTATCCAACTAAACCCACCTGAAAAAGGGCGTCCGCTTCCTCAGCCTCTCAGGAGCTAACATGGGTAGAGCGTAAAATGCCGCTTGAGAGTGTGGATTGGCTGAAAAATAACTCTTATAATATGCGAGGAAGGTGCGTAAATTTCATGGGGTACGCATACAACGGCTGCGGCACGTATCTTGCTAAAACCAAATTGATTAGTTTCACAATTTCGTTCATAATTTCAAAGGTATGTTTCATATGCTGTATCCTTGGTGCTTACTTTTGCTCTGGTTTTGGCAAGGTTTGTCTGAAAGAAACAACTTATTTCGGCATCTTCCACGTCGTCTCGGCTACCGATTTGGTGTGTCGTTTTCTTTGTTTGCTCCTTCCTTCGTTGAGGAAATGTACATAAGCACATTTGTGGTGTGCATACTTTATGGACTAGGTGGTACATAATATTTACTAGCTGTTTGGAGTATTTTCAAACGGATAAGTGGATATGTTAGTCAACATTCTAATGCCTCGAACGGTGTGAAGCCTTCATATATTTGTTTGTGACCTAATATTCCTGTTGGATGTTGGTTCTGGCTCTGTTGTTGTTGTTGTTAGCTCAAAAATAAAAGATGGCGGACGAAACTCTGTAGAATAGGGGGTCCTTGCTTCATCTTGCCATCAGTTTGGGGGTCCTTGGAAACGTTGAAGACCCCTGCTTTAGAGCGACCCTCGAGCGGAAAAGGTTCATTAAATTTTATTTAGCTAACTAAACCAAGAACCGATCCAGCAGGCAAGTATCAAGAAAGCTTCCAGAAAGCCAAAAGTACCAAGTGCTACCTAGTCCAGGTATAGTCCGTCAAGATGTGTTTGCGTCAGAAGATGTAGATGTATATTCATTTTAATCATCAAAAGTAGGTGTGGGGGATGCATGAGTTTCTGCCCTTTCTGTAGAATTTGCTCTATAGCTTAGATTTCTGTCTTTCACTGTCTGTGTCTTTCTGCCTCTTTCCCTCTGTCTCTCTCCTTCTGCTTCCCTTCCAGCCACTGTTTGCCTTGCTCAGAGAGAAGGAAGCGCTTGTTTGTGCAGGATCCTCTCACCTGTAAATGTTCCTGCAAATTCACACAGTTAGACTGCAAGTCCAGGCAACTTGAGTTAAACAAAATAACTTGCAGGTTTGTTTACCATACATACATTATAAATAAGGTTTTAAACTCCTTCCAGCAAAGATTTCCTGCTGAGAAAATGCATGCTTCTCCTTGCTTTTCAGTCTTTGGTGTTGTACATTCCATACCTTTTTTTTTTTTTTTTTCAGTCTCATTTATTATTACAGGATAAGTCACATCAAATGATGTTGATGATTAAATATTACCAGTAAAGATGTTGGCATGACATTATGTTTACGAATGAAGCTAGTTACGTCTCCTGACCCCCCGCATTGCTTGTAAAGAGGAGTTTGAGGCCTGTCGCTCCCCGGGTTCAAGATGGAACCTTCACCCACAGTCAACGGATTGGCACTTGATGTCAATATCAGAGTACATTGTGTGTACAGCAAGGAAAAGTATGGGCAAGGAGGTTGAAACTGACTGATCGTTTCCTGTCTGCCCGTCTCTGAATAGTTTCTTTATCTGCATGGAGCAGTTTTATGTGAGACTGGCTTGTCATATTCTGTGAGATGAGCTTTTACAAACCCAATTTGCTGCTAGTCCCTTATAAAGATTCTCACCTTGTTTTCCACAGATGCGATAAAACGAGAAGATGAGACTAGCAACACTATTATGAAGAATTTCTTTCTTGACACAGCACTTTGGAAACCTGAGGATGCATGACACAAAATGACAACGCAAGAAAGCACATTCTGAAGCAAATCCTACCACATCGACAATTTGTATTGCTGCTACATACAAAGACAACATTTTAAGCTAAACAAATGTGCCACTGGCGTTTGAAAAGGAAATGTGTGTAACATGCACGTGTGTGTGTAACGACAGAAAGCGTGATCACAACTTCAACGAACGGTGCAGCAGCAGCCCAACTCCCCTCCAAACTATGACAGAAGAGATTAGTTTATACAGAGGGAGGACAAGAACACAAAGGAACTGTTTGTTGTACCTGATCACAGCGGCGGGTCTTAATAGTGTTTCTCTTTGAAATTATGTGAAGTATGAACTGACTAGTATGAGTATCCACCTAAAAGGTTTCCTTAACTTGACTTTGGATAAAAGTTGTATGTCGATGTGACAGTTAATGTGAGATTATCTTCTCTCATATAAGGGTAATGTGATGATGTTAAAAACTAACCCCTTACATAATGGTGATGCTTTAGCAAGATTAGGGTTGACTGAAGTGTTTCTTATTGACTAAAAATTAAATTCTTATGGTTGAAGTTTCTGTTGGGATAGGAGACCACTATCTGCTCCCGGTACCCCCACTCTCATTTAGGAATCAGGAAACCTTTATTGCCATAATATGTGAGACATATAAGGAATTTTACTTGCCGGTTGGTGCATAACAGTACGACAAGACAACGTGCAACCCCCTCCCTTTAGGGAAAGCACACTTGTTTCATTTTGTGCAGAGACTTTATTTTATTCATTTTGAGCTCTTGTTTTCGTTAACAATCTTTTGAGACTGTCTAGGAATATTACTGTAGGTATATGCGGGGAGAAGAGGTGACCAGAAATACTGATCATCGAACACTTCGGCTCCTCACTGTAGAAATCCTCAACCTTCCAGTGCCCTTATTTAATATCTTTGTGTGTGTGAAAGAAATAGTCAGGCATCCACAACCAGGTAGTTGATCATAAATAATATGCATATGCTTACTCAATATCCCTCTAGTGTCCTACATCTAATTCATAGAATATGTTCAATATTGATATTTCTATGCAATGTTAAGGTCCTTTTTTTTAAAACTTTTTGAAGACTCAATGTAGAACACAAATGACCGTAAACTCCTTCACTTTGGTGGGGAAAGGACTTAAAGGCAATGCTTTGACATTCCTGATTGAAGCTGGGTTTCTCATCAGCTACAGAGAGATCATGGTGGGCTGGTTGACCGATAGAAACCCCAACCACCAGACTGTGCAGGAATGATGTGACAAGACAGGTGTTTTTCATTTGGGCTAGAGTGAGAGACATGTGGTTTTGCACTTGTTCGCCCAAAGGCATGTCCTACTGAAGAAATTTAGTTGCTGCCTCGCCATAGGGCCATACTTTGGTGAAGCATGTCCAAGCAGACTTGTGGTGGTAAAATTCCATAGTGTTTCTCTGACTCTTAAGATTGAAGATGTAGTATTTTGAGGATCAGCACAATACACACTTTCCACAAATCAAAATATTTATGATACTAAACTGTTCCCATATGAGAAACTCGTTTCTCATCCATGACCCTTAATAGAGACACATGATAAATGGTTCAGTAAAAGTGCAAGGGATATAATTAATACTTATGTGCCATCATCTATACAATTTTAATTTTGTATTGCCCAAAATTCAGAATGAAAAATACCCTTTACAAGAGGGTTTTACATTGCACATAGGACATTTTCCATCCTGGAACCCTCATATCAGCACAGAATTAATATGTCAAAGCTAACACTGTTACTATTACAAGCTAAAACCTTGAACACAGTGTATACATGGACCGTCTAAGTGGGTCCTTTTTACTGTCCATGATTTCAGCTTTGTTGAAACTCCCAATGTAAACATTTCTTCAGAGTGTTAGATTGATTGGTCATTTATTTAATGGAATGTATTAACTAATTCATACTCTCATTATTATAGTATTAAAAGGCATGACTTCATGAATACACTACTTGTGTGATTCTGGAATTATTAGAATAAGGGTCCAGACCCCAAGTCAGTATTTTTTACTTTCTCTAAAGTAAAGTGACTCATTTTAATTCACCACTGTTGTTCATGTGAACTTATCTTTTCTGCTTGAGGCTTCAGTGTGTTCAGAGACAGGGTGCTCGATCTCTGTGCCAATGCTTTTCAAGCCCACGGATGATGTCCACATTTTTAATTTGTAATTAAATGACACACTTTTTGTACAGCTATATTTTCACATTAATATATATTTTGGTGCTGTAAAATGTTTTACAATATGGATACTCTTATTTATGTTTTTTTATTTCCACTAATATAAAATATTTATTTTGAAAATGCTTTTCTTTTGTCAAAGTTTGAAAGCTTAACTTTTTGGTATAAAAATGATTGTGTCAGATTTATTAATTGTGACCTGACGTCTAAATCATCAACAGACATGATGTGGCCAACAGAGTGTTTACTGTGTAGACTAGTCTACGTTTGGAATTGCCAATCTCCATTCTTATTTACTTTTTATCTAGGTGTACTCTATATAGAGTTTTCCCTCAGTGCATTCTTCACTTTGAATAACAAATGGAGGTTGACCAAAACATGTTGCCAGCCATGCAGACACAAGGCTTTGATATGATCCACAAACCAGTGGATCATTTTGAGAGGACTACGTCCACCTCTAATGAACAGGCTATTCTTTTGGCTGATACATTTGTTTGGTGCAGTTATCCAAACTTATAAAGCATTTTTACTGCATTATTTGTAACTCCATTCAAGAAGAATAATGAAATGTGTTTAGGCTGAGCATCTGTCAGGCCTTGTAAATGAACTGAATGAAGAGAGGTACAACCACAGCAGCTGTTCTGTTATTGTGGCCGGGAAAACAATAAAAGACGTTCTCCTTAAAACTCCATTCTGTATGAATTCATGTCGCATTGACGCACATTGCTAACATTGTTTCTTCCCAGGAGTCTACTCCATCCTAAGAGACTTCTGTGTATCATGGTTCTAACTGAACTGTGTTTTTGCCTCCTGCCATGGCCCTGCCGACACCCACTGCTACCGTTACGTTTCCTTTACTGTTAGAGCTTATATTAGGTCCTTAGCAAAAGAGTCCCAAGAGACTCCCTGGACAGTGAATTTAATTGTGGCAGAATACGCGTCCGAACATGTTCCCCGCATTCGCCCTATTGGCTGTTAACACATACGATAGAAATGTGTTGGGCCCGCTACAGGGGGTTCAACTGTGAGGGTGGCACATGGAGTAGAGGATGCGGTGGGCGTGCCTGCTCCATGTCCCATGTCAAAGTGTCCCTGAGCAAGACACCCAACCCCTAATTGCTCCCAAAGCAAAATGTAAAAAAAAAAAAAAAAAAACATGGGTTAAAAATGCAATGTAAGTTGATTTTGATAAAAGCTTCAGCTAAATGACATGTAATGTAACTGTGGCTGCAGGGAAATCAATGTTTTTTTGGGGACTTTTTCTTGATTGGCTACTCTAGGTCACCAAAAGCTATACGTTTGATAAGATTGTGTAGCCGTGCCGGAGCAGTCATTTCAAGTGAGTCTTTACCATTCAAGCTCATGTAACTCCACCGGACTGGTCAAACTTTGGCAAAATGTTTCATGCTTGATAACACTCATAACCCAAGGATGTCAACAAGCTAGCTTTCTCACTCGGCCTTAGCGCAACTCCCCGGCGAAAGATAATTTGTTTTTACGTAACCTTAACATGATGTGGTTTGATCTGGATATCAAGCAACATGATTCATATTTTACATGCATGGTATTTAGCACCTTTTATAGCGGACAGAAGAATTGGTGGAACCTTTTGCAGAACAAAAATTCCAACGTCCTGCAGTCCACACATGAAAAGTACCCCTAACCCTCAGGAAGCGTTGTCCGACGGTTGTAGATATTCATAGCTGCGTATTACTTTTTAGGACAGGGGGTTACTTTTTTGGTTGTAAGGGTCCTAAGAAAAAGGATGAGGAATCTTTGCAGATTTTCTATGCTGGGCCATACAAATGATTAAGTTCACTTAATTACAGAGTGTGTTATACTGTATCTCCCAATCTCTTCAGCCTCATGCAGCAGAGGCATTTTAAAAGATACTATATATTTTAAATCTTATTTTTGGTGGTTAAGTGTTTTACCTGAATATTTGAATCATTCCTGTTTGTATGAATTGAATGTAATGTACATCTTCTACCTTACCTGTTCATTCTGTACATATGACATACATAGTAGTTTCATAGTAGTTACTTTCCATCACAGGAGAGGGATCTGTCCTCTGCCATTCTGTCTTAAGGTTTCTTCCCATTTTCTCCCTATTGAAGGATTTCTTAATTTTTGGGAAGCTTTTCCTGTGCTGATGTGAGGGTTTCGGGACAGGATGTGCATGTGTACCGACTGTAAAGCCCCCTGAGACAGTTTTGTACAAACCCAATTCCAAAAGAGGTGGGACACCGTACAAATTGTGAATTAAGAAAGGAATACAATAATTTACAAATCTCAAACTTATATTTTATTCACAATAGGATACAGATAACATCAAATGTTGAAAGTGAGACATTTTGAAATGTCATGCCAAATATTGGCTTATTTTTTCATGAGAGCTACACATTCCAAAAATGTTGACAGGTAGCAAGTTAAATCTACATATAAGAAACAGCTGGAAGACCAAATGCAACTTATTAGGTCAATTGGCAGATAGAGGAGCAATATCAGAAAGGAGTTTCTCAGAGAGAAAACCATCAATGCTGAAAGGTACATCCAAGTTCTAGAACAACATATGCTCCCATCCAGACGTCTTTCCGGGAAGACCTTGCATTTGGCAACAATGCCAAACCACATACTGCATCAATTACAACATCATGGCTGCGTAGAAGGAGGATCCGGGTACTAAAATGGCCAGCCTGCCGTCCAGATCTTTCACCCATAGAAAACATTAAAGCGGAAGATGCGACAAAGACCTTAGACAGTTGAGCAACTAGAAGCCTGTATTAGACAAGAATGGGACGACATTCTTATTCCTAAACTTGAGCAACTTGTCTCCTCGGTCCCCAGATTTTTGCAGACTGTTATAAAAAGAAGAGGGGATGCCACACAGTGGTAAACATGGCCTTGTCCCATTTTTTTTTTTTAAGATGTGTTGAAATTTAAAATCAACTTTTTTTTCCCCAGTGTCTCTCAGTTTAAACATTTGATATGTCATATATGTTGTATTCTGAATTGGCAATACAGCCATTGAGATGAAAATAAACAGTGATAATGCCAAATTATTTCAGTTTCCAAACTGTGATCCCAGCATTCTACTGAAAGGACCTCTGTGCATTTATTTGTGCAATTTCTAAATCAGAATCTAAAATTGACTCACCCAATGGGGTGTGGTTTGTGCTCTGTGTGGATCCGTCACTGGGGTCTGTCCTGTCTGGCTTCAATGTCCAGGTTGCCATAGTGATCACACACAACGTTCTCAACTGGTGTGTTTCAAAAGTCTTTGCCCATCAATGTTTCTCCTTTGACCCCAGTAGCCTACAGCTGCTCTCCGTCTCTCGTCAGGGCTCTCAGCTTAGAATCGTTTGTGCTGACAAAACCGTATGTGTTCTCCAAAAGTTCAGCTAGCTTGACGTTTGCCATAATATCTAGCAAGTGGCCTCAGCTTTCACAATCCGGCGCCGGCGAAAGGCTTCGGATTAAGAGGGTTAAAAGACAGACAGTCCGTCTGTCCAATCAGAAGGATCTGTCGTCTGCTATCTGCTATAAGGCCCTACCCTTTCCGTAAGTAAGTAAGTTAATTTCGTTGTGTTTTCCTATTTGCCGTTGTGTTTTGCACTTAAGGGCCACCGTAAGCATGCCATCATTTTGAACTAACAATGAAGCCTGAAGAGTGAATATTGTGGCAATGAGGGCAGAGAGTAACATTTTTTTTAACCAGATTCTGACGCTGCTCTACACTCTGTTCTTCAGCTCTCACTCACAATACACACTAATGTAAAACTCAAACGGACTGAAAAACTCCCGAAACATAATCATTGAAATTGAAGAAAGTTGTATAGATATCAACAAGCTGTTGAAATAGTTAGAATACACTTTTGTCAACATTTTGATTGTCGTCGTGGCGCAGGGGTTAGAGAAGGTGTGCTGGGAAGCACAAGGTTGGTGGTTCAAGTCCAGGCTGCCCCATGTTCCATGTCGAAGTGTCCCTGAGCAAGACACCTAACCTCTAATTGCTCCCCGGGAAAAAATGTGAAAAAGCCACGGGTTTAAAGTGTAATGTAAGTCGCTTTGGATAAAAGCGTCTGCTAGCTGACCTGTAATGTAATTTTAAGGTTTAAATGGTGTCAGTAGGTGAAAGATTGGCAAAGCAGAAAAATGTGAAGAGGATTTTAAAATGACACAAACAACAGAAATAATGTACACTAAAAGAATTGCATGCATCCCTAAATTGTCGCCAGTTGTCTGATACATGTACCATTTTGAATAAGATCACCTTCAACAATCCTGTGCACAAACCAATTTAAACCTAAATTAACCACCCAAATTAAACACTTTAGCATCTTTTAAACCATGTGTAAGACCTTCGGCCAACTGCAAGGATGTATGGTTGTTTAGCCTCTCTTCCCTGAAGGTGTTCAACGATGCTGCAGCATGACTGAAAAACAGAACAACATGAATACCTTAGCTCAGGTTCTTAGCCATGCAGTGGTACTTGTTGTTCCATGAGTTTAAAAGATTATCCAGTTACCTGCTCTTGTGATGCAAAAATATTATCTTCACTGGGAGTGTGTTCCTCCCAAATGAAGTCCCCCTTCATTTTAAAAAAGGAACATACTCCCAGGGAAGTGCGTGTAAGAATCCAAAGTATTACTTTAAAGTGATAATAAGACTACTTGTATAGCGCTTTAACACTACATGACATCATTCACACCCTGATGATAGGAGCTACCATACACAGTGCCACCTCTAACATTCACACACTGTGGTAACAGCTACAGGAGCATGTTGGTTAAGTGTCTTGTCCAAGGACACATCAACATGCAGGTTAGCCAGGCCTGGGGTCCGTTTCAAGAAGCGGGTTTAGTGGAAACTCAAAGTTTGTTAACCCTGAGATGTTACGGGTTCATACTCGTCGTACGCCCGCATTAATATTTCCAGCTCAATAGGGGTGAAGTCCGCCGACTGATTGTTTGTGGTTGTTGCCATGGTAAATCGTAGTATGATACGGTTTAATTACGCTATGCAGCCAATCACAGCATTGATAGTTGTGCCCTGCCTAGACGCACCGTGCAGGTTAGCTTGCTAACAACAGTGCGGCAGAGTTAAGAAACGCAACCCCTTATCATGGCGAAACGAACGGGCAGCGCCAGCGACACATCCACTCATCTGATGTTGCTCACAGTGGTCCTCAGTGTGCTCAGGGAGCATTTATTTATTTATGTATGTCCAGACACATGAAAAATTAGAGGGAACATTGGTCACCACAATGGATGAGTCTTCGAAGAAGTAGTAGAAGAAGTTACATTAAACAAAGCTACGCAACAGCTAAACCCTGGATTAAATTTTTAATTGACACTCAATTAAGTTTCTCAATCTGGCATTCATTGTTCTAAATGTCAATACATTAGATTTGTGAGAATCCTGCATCTACCGTACCTCTTTTGCAGGCTCTGAATCCAAAACCTCTTTTGGTTTGACCGGAGAGCTCATTGAGAGAAGATGCACTGTTGCGCTGTTGCTTTTAATTTATTTGTGGAGCTCTTTGATTGTTGCCCTTTAAACAACAGACAGTCTCTATAGGGTTTATTATGTTTTGGGTGGTTAACTACGCTGATGGAGGCACAGAGAAGTGTGTAGTACTGAAACTCTGCATTCTAGTCTGAACTTTGGGTCATGGATTAGGTCCACTAA